CCCCAAAACCCCAAAACCCCATCGTATAATGATAAATTTGGAAACCTATAAAATTAATTTAATTTATTTTATTAGACCAATATAATAAAAATTATGTATAAATTTTTGTTTGATTATTAAACCGATTCAGATAAACTGTATTAATTTTTTGAAAAATTCTCACAATTATATTTCAAAGTTGCAGCCAGTTAAAGAGAATGGATCAACAAATTCATTGTATCTCTCAAGTATCTTTTGCCCGATTTAAGCCTACTTCGGTGCCTCTAAGACTCCGTAATCAATCAAGTAGTCACCATTTTTTGGTTATCTGATAATTATAGGAAACTTTTTCTCATGAGCTGTCTCTGAGAACTTATCAGCAACTACAATGGTGACATCAAGAGTGAATTCACTTTGAATAGTTAGTCCATAAACACTGTAGAAAGTGAACTTGGAAGTCTCCTCAATAAATCTACTCAGCTATCTCTCGAAAATTGAGAATGATTCTCTTCTCTTTCCTTACGGTTTGACAGTTTCCTCTTTTTTATTGTTAAAGCTCATCTATTATATTATCTATGATTTCTTGATTTTGTCGTCTGCAAATCTCTCAAGGTCTTTGAAGTCACTTAGAATCTTTTCCAAGTCAAATATAAACTCCTGCTTCTCTTATTTTTTCTTTTTTAAAACCCCGTCCTTGAACAGCTGCAGCAGTTTCAAATCAAATTAATGATTCTAAAGTATTTTTTGGCCTTTTTTTATAGATATATTATGTGTAAGAGTACATTAAATGTCTTTAATGTTTCGCTCACTCTTTGAATTATCGACTTCAATGTTAAAGTATATCTTTTCATTGGGGTAAAACATCTGCTTATTTATTTAGGCATTTATAGAAACCGTATAACTACTCTTAAAGCAAAGACACCTACTCCCGCTTACAACTTAATCCAAAGACCAGTTATTGTTAGTTAAACCATATGGGACTTATGATTTTAACTCTAATCTGAGCTACTGACTATCTTCTATAAAATGTTTTTCTCCTAATGACACCATTTGAGCGACAGACGCAACAGGTTTTAGAACATGCTTAATATTTCTAATCTTTTCAAAGTTTTTATAGTCTTCATCTATTTCCTGAGAAGTGAATAGAAACTCTCTGATTTCTAGTTCTTTTTTATGTCTTACAACTCCTTTAAACTTATCAAAGTATATATCAATAGAGTACTGGATCAGTATCTTATCCCCGTGTCGACTTTAGTATTTAAATGAGCCAGGAAGAGTAGCTGGCATCTTGAAACTAAAGGGAAGTCTGTACTAGCCATTAGGCGTTACTTAATCTTTAAACTCAAAACCAACCTATACCACATAGTTAGGATATGTAAATTAAATATACTGTAGTAGTGTCAAAGAGTATGATTGAATGAATATCGCTCTAATCTTATTTCCCCTGAGGCTATTTCCTAGATATTTTCATCGCTGACTCTAATTTCCTATTACTCGTTGATTATTGCCCCGAATTGTGCTCTTTTTCTAATCTTGGTGAAGGTTAATTCTTAAAGTCTGAAATTTTAAGTTGATTGAACTGCTGACTGCTAAAGATGTTATTATCTGATTGTTTTGAATTAACTGTTCGTTATTCAATCTTACTTGGAAGGTTTAAGTAAGCATGCTTTGGCTTTTACTTGAATGAATATTAGTTATTCAATGTAATTTATTCTTCATGTTTCATAAAATCGTTACCCATAAGAACAGATTACTAACTCAGTAAGTATTGTCCATTTGAGAAACTCTCTGGGTCTTCCTTAAGCTTTTTACTAATTTTAAGCCCATGTTTACCTGGGATCTCTTTGCCTTTAACTCTTATCATGATTTTATTGCTTTATATTGGGTTGAATAGATCTATCAAGGCAAATCCTCTAACTGTTTGGCCAGGGAAGTAGTAATCCTTATATAGAAATATACAGATGTACCCATATCTAGAGTGAATTTGAAGATGGTTTTCTCTGACCATCTATTAAAATGGAAATGATTAAGTGTAAGCAGGAATGTTATCTTGCTTAATGGGGGTCTGAGTTTTATTGTCTCTGGTGTCTTACCCGAATAATTCATCATCGATACTTGAATCTGACATTTTATTTCTAATGAATTTCGAATGCAATTTATTAATTTATTATCAAAGCTAATAAATACTATTTTATTTTCGAATTCCGGGGTTTTGGGGTTTTGGGGTTTTGGGGTTTTGGGG